CATGTATTGAAACAACAAGCTTCACCCCATAAACGTGTACAAAGAAAAAAATAAAACAATTAACTAAAAAATAAAGAAACTGTGACAGTACTGAAAAAAATAGAGGTGGTCATGTACATAACACTGGCAGTTAGCAAAACAGTGCCATATATGAATTCCTAAGAAGTAGAAATGTCTATGCTTGGAATGGCAGAGTGTTAACGTGTGAGACTGAGGGTGGGGAGAAGAAAAGAGACTACAGGGTAAGGAGTGAGCCATCTCAAAAGGGGTCCCAGTACCCCAGGGTCAGTGGAAAGGCCCCAAATGGATTTTTACGGGGTGGTTCATAAGCTGTAAATACTCCTCTAGCTGGAGGAAGTTGCCAAAACTACCTCCATGCCTCTGGCCAGCATGGCCACCATGAATTAATAGGAGGTGCGCCGCCCAGGAGACCACAGGGCACCACTGTTCACTTAAGCTCCTGTCTCAGCATGGGAGAAGCTGAGACCCCAGAGAGCATCTGCCTGCCGACTTATTCCCAGGTATCTGGAGAGGAAAAGAACGTTCTCAATTTCAACTTGACTTCATTAGTTGCTTGGCTCAAAGCACATCTGCTAGAAGGAAGGACCCTTTATTGTTTATGGTTCCAGGCAAACCCTCTTGGCCTCTTCACTGCTGACCCAATACCCTTCCCTTCCTCCCAAGAACACATATGCAAGCAATGGCTCACAAAATGTTTGTTGAATGAATCAACGAGCACTGGTTCAGACACACACTAACCAGTCTCACTTTCAATTCAGTGTGGGCCTCAGCGCAAGACGTTCCCTGGTCCCCACTCTCCCCCAGTCCTTAGCAAAATTGCACATCATGCCTGATGAGCTGAGCCAAAGCAAAGCAAAACAGTACCTTGTTTAAATTTGTATTTGCCTGATGTCTAATGAGATTGGATATTATTTCTTCTGTGTCATGTCCCTTTGTAGACCTTCTTCTGTGAACTGCTGTTCATGCACTTTGCCCATTTTTCAATTGTGATGCTGGTCTTTTTCTAATAATTGATAAGGATTATTCACAGAGAGGAAGGATATGAGCTCTTTGCTTGCCACCTGTGATGCAAAAATTTTCACATTTTGTCATTTGCTTTTTAAGTTTATATTGTTTTTGAAGTACCTAAAATAGTGCTCAGCACATAGGAAATGCTCACTAAATATTTGTTTAAGGACTGACTGAACGAAGTGTTTTATTTTCATGTAGGAAAAATCTTAGTCTATTTCTTTATAGTTTTTCCTCTGCTGTCATGTTTAGAAAGGTTTTTCCCACCCCAAGACCACATTGAGATTCAACAACATTCTCTGCTAGAAATTATATTATTTCATTTTCTTTACATTTAATACAACACGTCTGGAATTTGTTTCTCATATCTATATTAAGTGAGATCGATCTACAGTTTGATTTTTTGTACTGTAAACTCCTTACCTAACTTGGTATCAGGGTCATAGCAACATCATACAATGAATTCAAGAAGTTTGCATTTTTTTCTGTGCCTAAATAGTTTCAAGAATATGAGATTATCTGTTCTTTAAAGTTCACAAAAGCTCAAATATAAAAACTTTCTGAGTCAGGTGTGTATCTTGGAGGTAGTCACCTGACAACAATTTTCATCTCTTTTATATTTACTTTATAATATCGATCAGGGTAACATTTTAGAGGCTAAGACTTTGAAGAGCGGGCCCTTTTCTGGCAAGGTGATATTAGAATTCTCATTTAGTGTGAAAATTTGGGTGGGGTTAAATTACTATTTAAACCTCGGTTTAATTTCTAATTACACTGTCCTCGTGGCTAAAGACCCCAAACCACTGGTTTCTTGTCAGCAACACTGAAAGCCACAACATAACAGACTTGCTTCTTGTGAAATAGGAACCAAGTACTGCCAGAGCTGGAAGCCTCCAACAGGAAGTCATGACTCGGTGGTGATGAACTGAAATAACTACAGAAAAGGAGGCATGTGAGGGAACGAAAGATCCAACATCCCCTTTGGGGGCCTCGCTGTCATTTCCCTGCTGTTGCCTTTTAGTAAGTAATAGCAAGATCTTTATCTTGGTATAAAGCAAGGTAAAATCCTTATCTGCGAAGAACGTGAAATAAGCTGAACGACTTGGATAGAACGTCTCTAGGAAAGGGCTTTGCTGACTACCGGGGCTACAAATAAACACAACACAGCATGATGGATGTTGTGACAGAGGGAAGTCCCACACACTTTGCAGGTCACTGGGAAGTTCGCATGAGGCTCTAGTTGGCAGGAAGACAGTACATTTTCAGGCGCTGGGCACTATCCACCGGGAAGGGACCCCGACTTTGATGTCACCCACTCCAGGCCGTGGAGAGACGCCATTGAGCAAGTCTGCCACGCCCCTGTGCTCATGGGCTGACAGCTCAGGGAGGGCAACAGACAAGCAAACAGAACGGGTGCTCCGCAAGGGAAGGAAACCGACTTTGATCCCTGTTTCCATTGTAACACCCGCCCTTAGCCACACTACGGGGACAGCAGATCTGGAGCCACCCCGGCCAGGGCTGCCCAGCATGCTTCAGGCAAGTCCAGCCTGACCGAAGTAGGGGAGAACCGCCCGCAAGTTTGGAGGCTCTGAGATTATAAAAGTATTTTCCTATATTTTCGTTTAATCTTTTATATTTAATTATTACAGGAATATAATTGTGACATCCCAAACAGGCCATGAAAACTACAAAGGAACAGATTTACAGATTTACTTAAAAAAAGTCAAAAACATCTGCATGGTGAGAAACCCCATGAGCAAAGCCAAAATGGTAATTATGTAGGGAGCCACACATTTAATAAACAAAACACACAAAAAGCTTCTATGAGACACTAAGATAAATATAAATGATCTAATAGAGAAGGATGGACAAAAGATATGAATAAGCATACCATAGGAAAAACAAAGCAAAACAAAATAGAAATGGCCCAAAACCACATATCTGGAAATTGCTAATTAAAAATGAGATATCTTTGCCCATAAGGTTGGCAAAAAAATTTCAGATATGTGCACAATGGATGTTAATGTCACTTTTTATAATGGCTAAAAATCAGGAAGAAACTAAATATCCATCAAAAGATTGAGTAAATTCTGGAATGTATAGGGCAACCACACACATAACCCCTCTGCCCTGTGCCTTGGAAGTCTCAGTGCTCTCGCTTGTCGGGCTTCTTTGAGTTCCATTTCCCTTACCCCATTGACAAGTCTCAGTAAAATAAAGGGTAAAGTCTATAATTCTAAAATAAAAGCAAATTTTCAAAAACAGTCAACTGGAGACTGTTCACCAGACATCTTTCCACAATGGAGCCCCTGGGACAGTTGGGGTCTCCCTAAACCTCTTCCTTCCACAGGCTTAGGCCAAAACACCCTGGAAGTCTTGACTCCTTTCTTTCTCATCCATTAGAAAATCCTGCTGGCTCTACCTTCAGAATATGCCGTCCTCCACTGTCCCCACCCTGTGGCAGCTGTCATGGTCTCTCACCTGGTCTCCCTGCTTCTGCCCTGGGCCTACAGTCAATACAGCTACCAGAGTGATCCTGTTACAGTCGAGTATGTCATTTCTGTACACAGAACCCTCCAATGTCTTCCTCTCTCACTCAGAGGAAAAACCAAAGGCCTTACTTTCAGCCTACAAGAACCTACACAAGTCCCTCGGTCCCTCCTGTCACCACTCTAACCTCATCTGCTCCATCCCTCACACCTTGGGCTCCAGCCAAACTCACTCCTCTTGGAACATTCCAGGCGTGTTCCTGCTTCAGGAGCTCAACATTGTCCATTCCCTCCCCTAATTAAGGGGTGGGGCATGAAAATTCCCAGATACTTTCTGCTCTCTAAAGTGCAAGCAGAACAGTCTCTAGTTGGCCAAAAGCAATCCCTCAAACAAGAGCTCCCCCATATCCTCCAATATCTTTCTGTGATCCTAGTACAAGTAGTACCAGTAGGAAAACTGGACATCCTTATTGACTATTTATGAAGTGCTTTACATAAAACTCACTTAATCCTCCCAACAACCCTATGAGGCAGGGCACTGGTCAACACTGACAAGAGCAGTAGGATACTGCCATTTGTAATCCTTAACAAACTCATCAATTTAAGCATTAAGCATCAGTGGCTGCTACAATCACAAAAAGACAGACAACCAGATATGATTTTCCTCCTAATGGAAGTACAACAATACCAGCTATGAAGGGTTCATTATATTATTGTCAGAAAATAACATATTTAAGTGCTGACTGTTATAATCTAGAGGCAGGTGAAACCATAGACTGTCGTTTTCCAATTTAAAAAAAAAAACAAGATGCTAGAGTTGGAGTTTTCTTTTTGCTTTTCTGTGGTGTATATTTTGGTGCTAAGAGTTGCTATTTTCCTGAAAGTTTCTTAGAAGTTTATATTGGATTCATGGTAAAGGTTTAATCTCTTGACCCAGCACAAGGGCAGGGAAGGGAGGCAAGGGATGGGCCCATTTCTAAGCGACCTCCCTGCCTTTTAGAGAACTTGCCCCAAAGCATTTGGCCTGCAAAGGGACAAGTTCACTGCCTTATTTCTCCACTCTTGCCCCCAGTTCTGAGCAAGCGGGTACTTGAGTTCTGTGAAAGGCCTGCGGAGAGGCTTTTCAGAGGGTTTCCCAGTTAAGGCTTCTAACCAGTGCACTCTGTCTTCAATCTCACAAGTCGCTGCGAGCAGAACTCATCTAAAATACACGCCTCGGGCCCTGAAGATGCAGCTCTCCCTTTGGAAAGCTGTTTGCTTTTGTTCCTTCTCTGTCGGCCATGCTTCTTACTGTCCCCACTCCCCATTTTTTCCTAAATCATTAATATTGGGGATCAGCTTTACCAGAAAGAACAAGACACCCCTCTTTGGCTTCAGGCCCAAGGGGCTTTCTCCAGTACACCCTTTTCAGTGATGCAACAGCTGTTGCGCAGCCACCTGCCTTGTCTTGTGCTCCTTGTCAGTTCCTTGTCGGTGCCCTACCGTCAGAGCCCTGGGAGGCAGGACGGTAACTGGCACCCCCTGCAAGAGCCTGTCTGCTTCACGCTCCCTCTCACTCTCGAACTGCGGGCATCTCCCACGGTTGTCCTGAGTCCTGTTCATTCTAACTCATCACACCCTCCTTGGGAAATCTCATTCATCTCCATGATGCCAACTAGTACGTATACTCTAGTGACCACCAAGACTCTGCCTTGGGCCTGTGCTCCTCCTCTGAGCTCTGGATAAATTTACCCAAATGATTGCTGCACATTACACAATTACTTCAAACTCTGGATGCCCCAGCGTGAACATACCATTCCCACTGATTTTTCTCCAAACTAGGTATTTTCTCCCATGCTCCCTCTCACTATGCCTGTATGACATAATTAGTTTCCAAAAAGATCTTAACAGACTGATAGGAAGGACCAATTGCAAAAAAAAAAAAAAAGACAAAATTTAACAGCAGTAATGTAAGATTCTGTTCCTGGCCTTAAACAAAACACCAATAGCACAAGAACAGACTGGAGAAAAGAGAGCTTAGCAAAGGCACAAAGGAAAGCTAAGTTCACTTGACAGGAAGCTCAATGTGAGTCAACGGTGTGGCGTGGCTGCCGGAACAAAGCTGATGGAATCTCCAGCTGCCTTCGCAGAGGCCCTGCATCCAGATGAGCAGGGGCTGTCCTGCTCCGCTCTGCCCTGGACGGTCTAAATGTGGAGCAGTTTATTCAGTTCTGGTACCAGTTCAGAGCACATAGACAGGACAGTGAGGGAACTGAGAACCCTGTTCTATCCCAAGCAATGGCTGAATGAACTGGCAACATTTAGACTGGATATTTGCAGGACTCTGAAATAGAAAGAGAATTAGATGTGTTGTGCATATTCTAATGAAGTAACACCAGGACCAACTTCTCTCAGTCACAGCTATCACACAATTATTTGGGCAGCACATTATGTAACTGGTTTCCTGTCATTGGAAGTGTCCCGATAACAAACGGCTGGTCAAAAACGTGGTCAGCATTGGGGTTGGTGTAATTCATCCTGGGCTAATTGTCCTTCTCAACTTCCCCACTCCTGTCAAGTTCAAAATCTTTCCAACTCCCTCTCTCACATACCTCATAATTAAGCAATCAACAAGTCCCACTGATTATTTCTCTGAAACCGTTCTCACATTTTCCCCTTCTGCTGCAGGAAAGAGAGTAGAACAAAAGGACACCTTCCAATCCCATCCCAATCAATGTGACTTCCAGATTCCAAGGGGCCATCTGCGGTAACACCGTCATTCGTTTTGGTCACCTAGCAAGTTTTTCTATATTTGGGGAATTCTCCACCTTATACATTTCTGGGAGGGAAGAGACCAACTGCAATTATAGAAGCAAAAATGATAGATACTGTCTTTTCCACTCTGCCTCACATCTAGGTTACAGATTCTGATAATCTTTTCTGATAGTTTAACCTCAAGAATGCTTCTGCAGATCCCACAACAATTTTTAGCTGCCTAATTAAATAATCACCTAGTTAGCTGAAATGATGTGCCCATTGAAGATAAGGTTTGGGGGGCAGGGGAATGGGGAGTGGGAGCATAGAGAAGGGCAGGAGGCGCTGCAGGGTTCTAAGGCAGACATTCGTTTCAAGATGTGCTGGAGGTCTTAAAGAAAAAGGATGACAAGCTCAAAGACCTAAATTCTTAGCTCAAAGCCCGGTCAAAAAGCTAAACTTTCTACAACAGTGTTAAAAGAATCCCTTACAGCTCACAGCCACAGGCCGAGATAGCCCAAGACAAGCCTCGAAGTTTAAGATTGCAAGTGGCCAAATTACTCCACCAGGTCTCACATGTGAAATTGAGAGCGTGCTTAAGAAAGCCTGGGACCCTGAAAATTCGAATGGAGACATTTGCGGGTATTCGGATGATTCTGAGTACCCCAGACTCCCAACCCCCAAAACCTACCGGGAAGACCATCAAGGAGTCAGACTTCTCAAGAGTGAAAGTTTAGGTCACCTCACCAGGTAAGGAACACTGACCAGATGAGGTACTGGTGAGCAAAAGGCGGGCACGAATCAAGGACTGGAGTAACCATCTGTTTGTTCTGCTTTGCTATGACATTTTAGTAATTGCCTTTTCCCCTCTTTCTATTCCCTGATACTTTATCTTGGATGTATGGGTGGTAGTGAACCTTAGGTAGGCTTGTGACAATACTAGAGACAAGTGGCGTTACTCAGACAGTCCCACTCCCTTTGACACAACGTATTTCTCACCAGCACTCGCTCTGAGTTGTGGTTTGAAGTGTTTTTTCCTGGCTGTTTAACCTCAAAGCTGGCTCTCCAGCCCTCTCACCATTTCTCTGAGCTACCCAATATCATTTTGATAAGCACCTTTTCTGCTTAAATCAGTCAGGGGCAGCTTGCAAATTAAAACTCTGACTGGTACAACATCTATAGGAGTGTGTGGTCTGTCCAAGTTTCCCCACCTCTAAAATACATCAAAAATATAGAAGGAAGGAATGAATAAATATAAAAGGAGAAATTTAAAAGTTTGCAAATTTAAAAAATAGAACTAATTAATAAACAAAAAGTTGGTTCCCAACAAAAATTTTAAAAATCGATAAAGCAGGAAAAACACCAGGTAACCTAATCAATGTGGGAAAGGAGACAGAGCACAAAATCACAATGACAAGGCAGATATACCTCGGGAAAGAGTAAAAATATTGAGAATCATAAGAATCATCTTTTAAAATCATATGTGGAAGAATTCAGAACCAGGATGAAACAAATACTTTTCCAGGAAAATATAATCTACCAAAGTGACTCAGAGAGAGATAGACTAAATAGATCGATTTCCACAGAAGAAATAGAGAAAGTTGATAAATATCTAAACCACAAAAAAAGCACCAGTATAGCTTTAGGGGGAATTCTGCCAAAATTTTAAAGTTCTGTTAATTCCACCTCTACTCAAAATATTCTAGAATGTGGCAAATTTGCAAAATTTTATATGAATCAAGTATAAAATTTATGCCAAAATCTGCTAAAGACTGTAGAGAAAATAAAGCCAAAGACCAGACCAATCTTGCTTATAAATACTGATGCAAAAGTCCAGTATAGAGTGTTAGGATGAATAATCCAACAATACAATAAAAAATACCCTGACCAACTGGAATTTATAATGAAAATGTAAATGGTTCAGTATTAGATAATCTATTCATAGAATTCATTGCTTTACTAGATCCAATAAAATAGATCATATGATCATCTCTAGAGATACTGAAAAATCTTTTAATAAAATTCAATAAGGATGTTTGATTAAAAAACACTCAGTAATACCAGAATCCGTGGAATATTTCATCAGCATTAAAAAATATATTCTCTCAGCCCCAAAGCCAATGTCTTTCTTAATTGGAAAACACTGACAGCATGCTTGTAAAAGTCAAGATCAAAATATGATTGCCCATTGTCAATAATACTGTTCCACGCCGGGGTGTTAACCCACACATTTGGATAAGAGGGAAAAAATGAACTAAAAAACATGGGGGAGGGGTGAAACTAGTTCTACTTCAGCTGACATGATTGTACACCTGGGAAACCCAAAAGAATCGCTGAATAACTACTACAAACAGTAAGAGAATTCAGAGGTGAGAGGATAGAAGATTAATACGTGGAAATTACATTGGTCCCAGTTTTGTGCACCCCCAGATGAATATGGTTCCACCGGGTCTTGGATGCTTCAATGGAGAGCAGTGGCTTCGCTGATAGTCGCTCCCAGCCTGGCTAGTTGGGCCTCCCTGGAGTAAAGTCTGGGGTCTGGCATAGCTTTTATCACATCTACCATGCAGAAGCCACAGCAGCTCCTATGCCCAGACCCAATCCAAGTGAACCCTCAAAAGCTTTTTTCCTTCCACCACTTCTAGATTCAGATGAGACCCATGCCACAAAATACAGGACCTGGCTTTCCCAGGGGCCACACAGAGGGACAATAAGAGACAGGAACCATAAGGAAACTGACAGATAAGTTTTACGATCCCAAGAAAGCACTGGCAAATAAACTTTGGCTCAAGTTCCGTTTTCTCAGAAACCTGGGTGAAGACAGAAACAATAGTCTTATATATATGAACAACCACCAGTTTGGTACATGTGATAGAAAAAACACCCCATTTACAGTAACAACAAAACCAAAAAAAATACTAAGCACAAACCTAATAAGAAATGTATAAAAGCCAGTGTGAAGAAAACGTGGAAATACTCCTTTCAGACCTACAAGTCGACTTGGACAACTGGAAAGACATGTCATGTTCCTGGGTGCAGATTCTCCCCATCACGGCCATGGCAGTTCTCCCTAGGGTAACTTACAAATCTAACACAGCATGCCCCGCCTCCTGTAGTAGCAGATTTCATTTAACCTTGAGCAAGCTTGTTCCAAAGTTCATGTGGGAAAGTAAAAAGGCAAAAATAGCCAGGAAAAGTCTAAAAAAGAAGTACGATAAAAGGGGACTAGCCACACCAGGACCAAAATAAACTACAAAGGCCCTGTAATTTAAAAGGGTGCTAAAAAAGTAAATAATAAATAAATAAAATAAAAATTTAAAAAGGGTACTATTAGAACACAAATAGATGGAGAGACCAATGGCACAGAACAGAAAGCCCAGAAATTGAACCAGAAGTAAATATTTCGTATATGATAAGGAAGGGTAGCATGTCAAGTCAGTGAGGTAGAGATCAGCTTTTTAATAAGTAATGTTAGGACAACTATGTAGTTATCTGGAAAAAAATGAGATCCATCTCTTACGTTGCACCAGGAAAAACTCCAAATGGATCATGGATCTATAAACAAAATGATACCAAAAAAACCCAATAAAATAAAATCACACAAGCACTAGAGGAAAGCACAGGTAAACTTCTTTCTAACTGTGGAGCAGAAAAGGCCTTCCTGACATGACTTGAACTCCAGAAGTTATAAAAGAAAATAATGACAAATTTTAAGAGATACATTTTTTTTGCACATACACAAAAACAATATAAACAACATCAAAATACAAATGAAAAACTGGGAAAAATTATACACAACTCCTCTCATAAAGGGTAAATACCTCCCAGAAATTGAGGCTATAAAGACCAGCAGTGGAGGAAGACCACAC